GCTGTTGAAAGCTTCACATGCCGTATCGTAAAGCGACCCTCTTTTGGGAAAAGAGGGCGCAGGCGGCTATAAGCCGCTGAGGGAGTGCCTGGGAAGGCAAATTAATTATGAATAACTTAATTAGAGTTGGCCTGAGCCGCCAGGAGGCAGTTCAGGTCGTTTGAAAGTTTATTAGGCGGGTCCGAGAGGGAGTTCCTCGGCCTGCGGACGCTATAGCGGGAGGGGAGTGGGGCTGCATAATTAGCAGCCTCACGAATAAAATGATTGGAATGCGACTCTGAGGCTTTGAAGAAGTTCTCAGAGAGTTTTTTAAGGAATTGTTGAATTGTAGGGAGCTCTAGGTCCCGATGAAGGTCGGCATTGCGGACGTACCAAGGTGCGTTCGCAGCTCGACGACAGAAAAGGTTTTGAACTACTTGGAGTTCATTAATAATTTTAGGGTTAGAGTGGGCGAAAATGGGGCCCGCGTAGGACATGACTGGTCGTATACAGACCTTATAAAGGGTACGCTTGTTTCTGAGGGACATTTTACTGTGTCGGCCCAACATACTGTTGAGCCTATTCAGGTAAAAACGTGCGTGACGGGTTACTCTTTTGACGTGGGGCCTGACGACGGCAGCTCCGTCTGTTTTATACAAGGTAAACGGGCGCCACCGCAGGTGCAATGGTACAGGTGTGCGGAGCACGTGTTATTTACAAGAATTCTGTCTAGCTACACTAACGCTGCCGCACGTGCAATGGTGCACGTGCCGTCACGGCCATACTGACATGCGTACGTCCTCGCAAGCGCTCCATCACAATCTTAGTTTTCTGTAGACAGAAAAACATCGTTCGATTCTCCTGACAAAACAGCGTCTGGTCCGGTCTATATTGACCCTTCAGACTCGGGTGATAGTCAGTTTTGTTCCGGCAGTAAGCCCTACAAAACTTTAATCATCTTTATGTTAGATCGGAATGATTAGTCTGTAGCTTTTTCCATTTTCTCTTTTTTATTTCAAGTACTGTTTTCGCTAGTCACTATTCCCTATAACTATATCACTGGACCGGCACAAAGCCCTGCAATGATAGTAAGAACTATTCTTTTTTTCTTAATCTCTTTTTTTTCAGTACTATTTATGCTAGTCCGGAATCACTATTCCCTGTAGCTATATCATTGGACCGGCAAACGCCCTGCAATGATAGTAAGAACCACATTTTTTTTACTCTCTTTTTTTTCAATTCAGTATAGAACAGTTACAGACCAACCATACCGCAAACATGTCCCCGTCACAATCACAATAAAGTGTATCGTGAGGGACGTAGTGACACGATAACACCTAAGTATGTAAACCAACTGCAACACGACACATATCCCAGTGCAGCACAGACCAGCCTCCCTGCAACTTCATGTTCCTTTCCTGCACTAGAATAATTACTTCGTTAGAGTGTTGCAACGTCTCTAGTATTTTCTAGATGCACAGACACGGCAACTTCTGACTGTCGCACGTCCTCGTGCGGTTGACAGTGAACAGCATACGGTCTATCAGTTATCACCACCTGCTAACAGATATTAACTATTTGTTAAATATTACAACGGACGACCATCCCAGACTTCATTTAAGTCTGGAACGCGCCGATATGGCTACCTCCAGGCAAACGCACTATAGCTTTTCGTTCTGCTGCGTTCGTGCCACATTCGCGCTAGCAAGCCGTCGCGCCGTACTAGCGCTAGCGAATCGTCGCACTGCTTTGCAAAATTAAAAGAAATCGAGATAAATGTATTGCGAACCATGGAATTCCGAGCTCCCAAAATTCATCACATATTCTCTTAAGAAACGACAACTGTATGACATTTGAAAACATTGCAAAAAAAAATGGAAACTATGTGTAGAGACAGGTACTACAACATATTTCGAAGCGAAGGAGGCAACTGCGCAAAATCTACGAAAGCCGTCCATTTACAGCGCCAAAGCACCATTTGTTCGGCGGCCGCTTGAATTGCCCTGCCGTAAGATCAGCCGATAAGTAACCGACTGTAGCGGTGTAGGCTCAATCTAACCAGCGCTCGGCCGTACCTGACCATGTTCGATTAGCCGTCACAGCATCTCCCTCATTGATCATTGTTGTATAGACTTTTAAATCCTTCGACATCAAACCCCAATCTTGTCGACCACGTAATATTTGGAGCAAACTGCAACACTGGTCAACAGATTAGAACACAAAAATGTCACTTATTATTTTAATTCATAGCATGTTAAAGTTAATCCTTTATTTTGGTACACCCTTAAACGTTTTGAACTTCAAAGTATAGCAAATGATAATCATGTTTCGCGTGAACTATCTTTTAATACAAATCGAACAAATTAAAAAAATGTTGCTTACATTATTTCACTTTATCTTTTCTCTACACTTTAATGATATGACAATATCGTAGGTAGGACAGCAAATTTCATTACGGTATTTAACATAAGAACAGAATCATCAATGCAGAATGCATTATATTCTTTCACAAATGTAATAATCCTCATACTATTCGAAGATTGTATATGGGCAAAAATGGGGACTTTATCCCACTTCTGATGTAGGAAGTATAATGGGTATAGTACAGAGACTGATTTTGTAGTTAGGAATAATAATTAATTGTTTTCACGAATTAGTTATCCAACGAGTCGAAGATAAACTAGTAACGGAATACGACAAGCGCACCGTTCCACGTCAGAGCCAAGACTGTCCTAACGACGGCAGCTCCGTCTGTTTTATACAAGATAAACGGGCGCCACCGCAGGTGCAATGGTGCAGGTGTGCGGAGCACGTGTTATTTACAAGAATTCTGTCTAGCTACACCAACGCTGCCGCACGTGCAATGGTGCACGTGCCGTCATATTCATTGTGACTTTTCTCACACGTGTGCTCCGCGTCCACGCGAAAGTCGCAACGAACTGATTGAAATTTGAAATTGCCCCAATTGCAATTGCGCTACACACGCGACAGCGGCAGCTACGATCTAGGGAGCATGGAAGGTTGCATACACACATCATAATTAAGGGTCATCCCCACTCCTACACCCTAGATTGCCCCTGCGGCAGGCAAGTGAGTAGCCGTCTTTACCGGTACGAATAATAACGAATACGAACAAACACCCTGCTATATATAATACGAGTATGCTTGATAAAAACCGATTTTCAAAATGCGATTAAATGTCCTTCTATTACCAATCATCAATTAATTAAATAACATTCTGATCTGAGGAAAATATTGTATTGTCAACTAAAGCAATAATTTAAATTCATCAGAGTGGGGTCAGAATAAAATAACATTACAATGAGCAAAGTCCTATAAAATAATACACTTAGCTACTTTGCACTTTGCATCACATTTGGACATGTATGAAGTACTCGGGATGACCGTATACACGAGCAGTTTAACTAGTTCGAAGGTGTTTGCTCTACACAGTCAACAACCCACTAGCACAACGTAGTGCCTATAGGCAACAAACTTATAACAAATATATTATGCCTTCCAATGGTTTTTGAAAAGGCCTATTGCCATTAATGGACTTCAAAATGACGATGATTATTAATGTTCATGATGTAGCATTTTAATATAACTGTCGTTTCATGCAAATTTGATCAAAAAATTTATGTATCTATCGCCGCTTCTAACAAATATCTATTATTTGTTAGAAGCGGCGATAGATACATAAATGTTGTTCAAACAAGAAAAATTACGAGTACATTAAAAACAGTTAACGTCAGTACTTTAATAATCTTTTTAGAAAAAGCTTTTAAAATAAAGACCCATTACTTCGTCCATGTGTCGAAGAGGATATTAACGACTAGCTGAGAATTTTACCGTCCTTTTAACTTAATGAGGGCATCCACTACTTTTTCTGCCACCAGGGCGGCGCCACTTTACAGTGAGGTAAAATATTTGACAGATTTCATAGCGGGGACGATAATTTCTTAGGAAAATGTAATCTTTAAGGTTTCTTTCTATATTATTAGTTGTATTTTATATTAATTACTTTAGAAATGAATAAACCAAACTATAAATACAACTAAAAGCCGAATTTTTAATAAAGAGTTGAAAAGTGCAAAAAATTAAAAATTAAACCACTGAAGCATTGTGTTGTGTATTAATTTAATACTCTAGATCAGGGATAGGGAAACTACGGCCCGTGGGCCATCTCAGGCCCGCGAAGCGTTAAAATCCGGCCCGCGACCATCAATCAAAAATTAAGTGAAGTTTTTATATTGTTAGAAATGTTATTCTCACTGACAGTGCGCGACTCGCATAAAACAATCACCATGATTGTTTTATAATTAACGTGATTGAATCACGTAGTTTCGCGAGCGCGGGCAGTATGAGCGAAATACTGAAAATAAAACTAGGTATCGACTGCGCGCACGGTGCGACCGTCGGACACCCCTCCCGCGTATCCTCCCACGGCTGCCCGTGTCCACGCCGACACCGTGCCGCTGCCGCACCGCTGCGTCTTACTTCAAATCGCATGTTCATACGCTGTATATTCTTACTTACTAAACTACATCAGCCGGCGAACAGACGGTGACATTTTTAAATCCACAAGGTAAGATGTTAACCACTTACCTACTTTGTATAAATTCTGTAAACAATTTGTTCAGATAATAATATGCGAGTAGCCTAAATTTCATCACTTTTTGTGTTTTAAAATGATTTGATTGTAATATATGTTTGGGCGATGTATTGACTCTGGCTTTGTTTTTTTTATTATTATAGCAGTAAAATGACGACCATAAAACGCAAAGTCAATTCTGAGTGTCGAGTTTTTAAAGAGGAATGGTCATGTAAATATTTTTTCACAGAATTTAAAGGCAAACCAGTTGCCTCATTTGTAATGAAACAGTTGCAGTTTTTAAAGATTTTAATTTGTATCGACACTTTTCAAAAAAACATGCAAATGCGAAATATGCATCTATGACAGAGGCAGAGAGAAAGTCTTTTCTCGAAAGTCAAAAAAAAAGTTACGTGAACAGCAGAACATGTTCACGAAGCAATCTGATACTCAGAAGGCTACAACACTGGCAAATTATGTTGTAGCTTACAAAATTGCTAGAAGTAATAGAACGTTATCGGATGGTGAATTTGTAAAAGATTGCATGGTGACTGTAAGCAACATTATTTGTCCAGAAAAAAGTAAAGAGTTTCAATCTTTATCTTTATCACGGAGAACGATAATAAATCGAGTTGGCGTCATCGCTGAACAATTATCGTCACACGTGGAAAAAAATTGTAACAATTTTGAATACTTTTCTCTAACCATGGACGAGAGCACAGACGTGAACGATACTGCCCAATTGCTGATTTTTATTAGAGGAATTGATTCAGCGTTCAACATAACCGAAGATTAGCATGGTTAAAATTTGCTTGAAAGGAAAACCCCTGAAAAAATTATTTACGATTCTTCTCTTGAGGGTATTTCAAAGTTTAACTTGCCTATGGACAAATTATGTAACATAACCACGGATGGAGCACCCAATATGGTGGGCAGCAATTTGGGGTTTATGATTTATGGTTTAACCAGTGCGTGTTGCCAGTGATGACATATGGAACTGAGACGTGGTTCTTCACTGCTGGCCGGATAAGGAAGCTCAAGGTCGCTCAGCGAGCTATGGAGAGGGCTATGCACGGAGTTCCTCTGCGTGATAAACTTAGAAATGAGGATATCCGCAGTAGAACCAGAGTGACCGACATAGCCCAACGGATTAGTAAGCTAAAGTGGCAATGGGCCGGCCATATAGCTCGAAGAACCGACAACCGATGGGGAAAAAAGGTTCTCGAGTGGCAGCCTCGTACCGGCAGGCGAAGTGTAGGGCGTCCCCCCACTAGATGGAGTGACGACCTGGTAAGATATTATGCAGGAAGTCTATGGATGCAGGTGGCTCAGGACCGTGCTTTGTGGCATTCCTTGGGGGAGGCCTATGTTCAGCAGTGGACTTGTGAAGGGCTGTAATGATGATGATGATGATGATGATGGGTATATTTTGCAAAGAAAACCCCAATAATAATGTTACGAGCTTGGGGTTCGAGACAATTAAAAACTGCCGATTGAATTACCAAAATTGACACTTTAATTACACAACACTAATTACAATCTAAAACCACACTAATAATAAAACACAATTGTACTACTGATCACTTAAGTTCGCAGTTGTTTCGCTTCGAAGTATTCTCTTGTATCGCCAATTCAATACTGACTCGGTCGTAGTCTATACCGGCCTTATATAGGGCCTCAGATAGTTTCCAGAACCTTCTACTGTAGCGACATCTAGAATGTTCGAGTACATATCGGTCCCGAAATTTCTAGAAGGATCTTGACTCTCCTAGTTCTGCTACTCAATACTAGAGGGCGCTGGTGGTAACTAGTGTTGCCATTTACAAAACATTAATAGTGGCGCGCAACAATAATGTATTATTTCTGCACTGTTCGATTAACCAGGATGTGTTCAATGCCTTTTAATGTTAACGTCGATGAAACACCCGCTAACCTACAACTTGAACTAATTGAGATGCAATGCAATACCTGTCGGCGCCGTTACGACAGCACCGACGGTGTTTGCGGGGAGTATGTGAAGTGCGGGGGGTTTCTCACCACCGCGCCTAAGACCGGCACTTGCCGATAGCTCGCGACCCGATCGCCACCAAATATTTTTTATTTTTCATTCCTTTTAAATATACAATTTGCCTATCGTGTGAGTCGCCTATTTTATTCATGTTCCCTAACTGAACATAGTGGCGACCGTGATAAATTAAAATATCGAATTCCGATTTCGCCGCATAATACGGTCCAAAGGTCGTAGCACTTACCCCGCGTTTACAACGTCGCGAACGCAAGTACTACGAGCTACGAGAACAAAGGAAGCCACGCCGATCTACTACATCAGCTAAGAAGATTATTAAATTGGCGTACCATCCCGAGTCCTAAGAACAACAAAGCGGTCAAGAAGAATTCATCTGGAGCGGAGAAAAGACAAGAGGACAGCTATTGAGAACCGGCCAAGCTGAGGTCCAGCGGAGTCTACGCGCCACATCAGCGGTTTTTGCCAACTAAAAGTGAGCCCGTTCCTATTATTTTACCTCTTCGTGTCCCACTATTCCTAAAAATTCTATTTGTGTGAACAGGGAAACAAGGAATCTAGTCCTATTTTTTGTTGCCTTACCCTACCTACCTATTCTTAAGCAACATCCTTTATATTCCTTGTCTATCTTATACCCTTTCGTATATAAAACTGCTAATCTAAATAAACTATTCCTACTCAATAATCCTACCAAATAAAATACCTATTAAAACAATCCTAAAAGAATTACCTAGATAAACCTACCGACAATTTACATACCTAACGAGTTAAAATCACCTATTTACACCTATTTGCTTGCCTATCAGCTAATTTTCTATTATTTCTTACTATTATTTCGCCGCATCATTTGCTAAGTAATCAGTGCTATTTTTCAAGCCGCCTATAATTTGCATTCATTGCGCCTATTTTACGACTTGAAAGTCTTCACTAGCATTTAATTAGTTAGTAGCCACTGTTAAATAGTTAGAATTTAAATAGCTGAACCTATTTCTTCAAACGTAAGCATACACATACTATGTACATAGCTACGCAAAAATTTGAGCTTAACTCCTCAATGCAAGTAAATTCACTTCTCGCTATTCACTGTTAGCTGTTTATGCACGCAAATAAATTAGTCATCACTATAGCATAATCATTCGCTAAGCCCTATATTACGCTAATTAAACCATTATTTGCACAAATCAATTAAATTTACGATCAACCTTGCTTCCCGTTATTATTTTATGTACGGAGATATCTGCAAAGCATTCCAACAATCAATTTCAGCTACGGTGCAGCGGTCGCTCGAGACTATCATCGCATCCCGTGTCACTGCCAGCACTGCGGGCTCACGTCGTGGTACTGGACCGCGGGCGTCGCGCGTCATCAATCCCACCTTTCACCGCGCTTCTGCTGATTTTGAACCGGTTTCCGTCACAGCGGCCACGAAGCGAGGAACGTATTGTATGCAATTCTTATTTATTTGATTAGTACAGCGCATAACTAGTTGTTTTGATTGTCTGCGCGTTAACTTTGCTAGTATGGAGGCAAAGTACAAAACTCTTAATTTAAAACGCGCTTCAATTAGAGGCCGTGTTACGAAATTTAATAACCATTTAGAAGAATTAAAAGGTAAGGTAAGAATTAAAAGCTTACTCCTACGGAAGTTAGCGTGCTATCGCAGCGATTAGTTAAACTTGAGACTTTATTTGGCGAATTCGATAGCGTGCAAAATCAGATTGAAGCATTGGAGGAAAATAAGTTAAGCTTAGAATTGGATACCAGAGAAGTTATCGAACAAGCTTTCCACAATTCGATCGCATTGGCTCAGGAAATTATTTCCGTAAGCAGTACGACAAAAAAATCGTCGCTTCAGCATAGCAGTATTTACACAGCTGATGAAGATGATCACGAAGTTATCGGCTTTCGTTTACCAGTCATTAAAATTAATAAGTTTGATGGTACGTTCAACAAATGGTTGGAATTTCGTGATACGTTCAGTTCTCTGATACATAATAATACAAAAATAAAAAATATACACAAATTTCATTATTTAAATTCCTATCTAGAAGGTGAAGCTGCTCGTGTAATATGTAATTTAGAAGTTTGCGACAATAATTATCCTGAGGCATGGAGTCTTCTTTGTGAGCGTTTTAATAATATTCGTCAATTAATAAATAATCATTTGAAGTCTTTGTTTAATATTGAGCCGTTGCGTGAGTCTGACAAGTCATTAAGATTTCTAGTAGACCACGTCACAAAAAACCTACGTGCTTTAAATACTTTAAAACAGCCAACTGATCATTGGGATACCCTGATCATATTCATAGTCTCAGCGAAATTAGACAGCAACACGCGTGTTAAATGGGAGGAGTACATTCAAGCTAATGTTAATGCTTCGGATATCTGTTTATCGCAGTAAACAAGACAAAATATAAAGTCAAACCCGAATCACAATCAAGGCGTCAAACAAAATCCCGTTTCTCATACTAAGTCATTCGTTAGCGCTGAACAGGGCGACTCATCAGCAACTGCCCCTCACAAGTGTATTTTCTGTGGTCAAGGTCATCGTAATTATGAGTGCTCACAATTTCAATCGAAATCTATTGATGATAGACTTTCATTAGTGTCCGAGCTAAAGTTGTGTCCCAACTGTTTGCGCAAAGGGCATAATACGCGCGCATGCAAGCTTCCAGGTACGTGCAAGATATGCAAAAAACGTCACAACACCTTTTTACACAAACCTACGGATTCTGATACCAATGTGGCAGTCACTAATGTTGCAGTCTCTGAGCCAGTTTCAATGTCAGCTGTTTCTGCTTCTGAGACACTACTATGTACGGCTTTGGTTGATATTTTTAATCCCAAAACAATCAATTACATTACCACTAAAGCTCTCTTAGACAACGGTAGTCAGTCTAGCTTTATTACAGAATCACTTAAATCAAAGTTAAATTTAACTTCTTCCACGTCTGATGTTAGGAATGTAGTCGGCATATGTAACACTATTGTCAAGCTTAATGCTGAACGTTGCAATGTTCGAATTCATTCAAAGGTAGGTTCTTTCAGCGTTATGACGTCATGTTTAGTCATACCCCAAATATCAGGTAAGATACCTAAGTCTCTTGTGTCTATTACACACCTTAACCTGAAGTCCTTTGCATTAGCAGACCCCAGCTTTTATGAGCCGTCTGACATAGGACTGCTCATCGGTGCTGACCTATTTTGGTCCATTATTGGAACCAAACAGCACTCTTTAGGCAAAGGAAATCCTATTCTACATGAGTCTAAATTAGGATGGCTTATCGCAGGTCCCATGCATTATATTCAAAATGACAATCTCAATTTAAATTCCCCAGTGAAATGTAATTTTGTAAGTATTGAAAGCAACAATACTTTAGTTGAGCTTCACAATGATTTGAAGAGGTTTTGGGAGCTTGAAAGCTTGCCACAAAGGCCCCTTCTTACAGACCAAGAGAAAGCTTGCGAACAACATTTTTTACAGCACACAAAACGTACTGAAGAAGGTCGTTTTTGTGTCAAGCTGCCATTGATCGACAAACCAGACTGCCTAGGCACTTCCTATTTCATAGCCAGGCGGCGATTTATAAACCTGGAACGTCGCTTTCGCAAGCAACCGGAACTTAAGTCCGCCTATGTTGATTTCATTGAGGAGTATCGCAAACTAGGACATCTAGCAATATCTGAGGTAGACCGACCTGAGCTTGCCTATTTTGTTCCGCATCATCCTGTCATTCGTGAAGACAGTGAGTCAACACGTCTACGCGTCGTTT